AGCTAATAATGAACTAAATAAACCATAAATATACATTATCTGGGCCACACTAAGCCTTAAGTGAGTTATGCATTAACAACACAAAGCATTGCAAAGAGAAATTTAAAAATGTCCTCCATAAATGTTCAAATAAGTTCCAGAAATGTATCCTACTTGATAAAATCATCCCGACACAAGTTTTGCACAAGCAGCAATTAAAATGTGACAGATAAATATTCAAAGACACATTCCAATACTTTAAAAACTGTTCTTCACAAGTTTGAACTTAAATGCTTCTCACTCCGACTCTACCGACACAGTAAGTCTGTGAGTGTCATAGCTACACTGTGTTAAAGAGCGCACGACGAAGATGAAAGGTTACATAGCACAAGTCTTTAATCCAACAAGGGTAAATCCAAACACAATGCAGCACAGCAACATGTAGACATAAGACCAAACAAACTCAAAGTGAACATACAGGAACTTAAGTACTCAGACCAACCAAGGATAATTAACTAGGCACACCTGAACAGAATAATACAATCAACACAACAAGGGAAACGGTGCAAAAAGAGTCCAAAAGTCCAAATTAACAGAAACCGTGGCAGTAAGAGTGCAATCATTATAGTGCGCTTCTGTTTTTATGCTGCACAGTAGTGATGGGAAACCGAGGCTTTCTGAACCGTTTGAGGCTTTCAGCAAATTGTGCCGAAAAACGTACGGTTCATTACTCGAAACTTTTTAACACAGTGCGCATTAGCGACATCTGGTGGTCAGACTCGGTTTCTCCAGCCTATCTAACGTTCGAAGTTTTAAACGCCATCAATCACGTGGTATTGTCATTTCGATACAAGCATCGGCACAGTGTGTGATACAATAGTGCTTTGAAACTGCGTCGGAGCATCGGAGCCTCGGTATCAACCGTCCCATCACTACTGCACAGTATTTAACTGCCATTAAAAGCATGTTTCAAAAAATAAATTGCTGCATATGTAGCCTTCTTAAGACTCACATCCACATCACACTGCATCAGTTAACTGTGTTGCATCCAACTAAAAGTAGGCAAATTCTATTAGGCCATTTTTACAATTTCAAACTTGCATTTCAATTAGCCAATGTCAAGTGCTACGTCAAAAGC